GGTTTCAGGGAAAGCAGACACTGCGTGGAGAAGTATCAGAAAACATCTTTTTAATGTGAACACTACTTCACACGATGAAAAACTATTCACAATGCGTTGTTTCCAGATGGACTGCTTGGACGTGGTGTGGATCCCCGCCTGCTGACACGGCACGTGCCTGCAGCCCGGAGCTTCAGTCGGCTTGCACGCTTCCTGGTCAGTGATGGCTCTCCAGGGGGCCCCGGGAACTCGGGGACCCCGCCGGGCCCGCTACATTCTTCTCAGCAATTATGGCGCAGCGAGCACACCACCCAAATCACTGATGGAGCCCCGAGTCCCTGGCACCCACCGAAGCACAATGGGCAGATTCACATGTCGGCTCTTTCTCTCCAATAAATACTCATGGCACAATCCAATCCATTTCCATCCCAGGAAATAAGTTTCAGTCAGGAAAACGTGTTGCTCAATGGAACTAGAGTGAATCATGTTCTTCATATCAGAACGGAGTTAGGTGTCTTTGTGTACAAATATAGCATATTTTGGCCGGGAAGATAATTTCTCGTTGAGGAGTTTATTTGCCTTCACACGCAGGACTGCTACATACATTCACAGTTTTAATAGACTGTTATTAGCTATTCCAGTTGTGCTTTAAAATTCCAAATATTATTTTCATTAGTGAGTGCAAAGCAAATGTTCCATTGGACGACAGTTGGTCCTAGATGATTTCTAGAAAGTTCCTTCATTCTCCAGTTTCATCATTTGCTTTTTCAGGTATGACTTCCAGGCTCCGGCGTGGCTTCTGAAGGTCGGCGTTTTCAGTGCCTGGCTTATTCAGCCCACAGGAGACAGCAGCGTAATGGATTTGCTTCAGGTTGTCCAAGGTCTCGTTCTTCGCGTACTTCAGGAGATCCGCCTGTCCCTGTAACGAAATCAACAACGAAGTCGTGTTAGATAGCACGTGCCGGCCTCCTACAGCTTGAAATCTCAGTCACGTCTGCTGGATGCTTGTTACGGTACTTTTTGAAAAGGAAAGGGCAGATCTAAGAATGGCTCCCCAGGGCCAATCACATTCCAGGCAGAGAGACAACCTCAGAAGGTTACAGTGATGCTTTGTTTTGGGTGGGGTGGGGTTGAGAGTGCAGTTTCTCAAAGGACACTGAATTATCACTGAGGACTATAAAAACAGGTCTTTAAGAAAATTTTTTTAAACTGCGTTGTTGAGGCACAGGTCAGGGAAGTGGCACTGCGGGATTGCTCCCTCATCATGACAGCACAGCTGCCCATTCTCGGAAGGCAGCCAAGCTGGCCTGTGAGAACTTTATGGGGAGACATTACCCCATTCACGGTACAGTCTTGATTTGCCCTTTCAACTTTCTCTCTGTTGCCAAACTCAAAGAACCTTGGAAAGGAACCCCATCGGAGTCCTGTGAGGATGCCCAGACGTGGTGTCAAAGAGCGCAGAATCCTCTAGGGAATGGGCGGGAGATGGGAGCTGCTCCTCAGAAGGGTAGAGACCTAGGTGGAGGACTACCAAGAAATAACAGCTTCACAGCTTATTTCATTCAGTTAAGGTTTCGATGATTGCAGCCAAACTCTTTGACTCACCCTGGTGTTTCCGACAGCCCTGTAGCCGAGTTGGTCAATGTCCCTGGAAAACACATCCGGCCTCTAAACAGACCTCCAGGGGATGGACTGACACAGGGGCTGCCTCAGTGGACTCAGGCCTGGGAACAAGGGAGGGGATGTGGCCGGGCCCGGCAGAGGGGCTTTCCGCTGTGCACTGGGTCGCTGTGAGCTGGAACCTAACAACAGCGACATCCTTGGTGCTGTCCCTTCTCCTTTTCTGCCCACCCACCCTTTTAACGTGTCCTTCTTGCACCGCCTCTCCAACGCACTGCCTTTAAAGCACAGGAAAGGCCAGGAAAGCTTGGCGCTGGCCCGGGAGGAAGCCAGCTGAGGACTTCCCGTGGCACGCACACGCACTGTGTAATCAAACTCGGGCTCTGCAGAGACCGACACGCAGTGCGTGCGGGCTTCAAGCCCCCATGAGGCCCGAGTCCACAGAATGGTTTACCACGTGGCCATTTATGATGGGCCTGCTTTTTTACAGACCTTTAATGAGTGGCTATAAATAGATGTCCCACCGCTTAGTGGAACTGAAGGGAGCTTCAGTTCCGTTGATCCTTACTGATTGCTGAACTCACCGTGGAAAGTGCATTCGGGTGGATGGTTGTCTTTGTACACAAACAGAGTATGTTGTGCCAGGAATATTATTTCTTCCTACAGGGTCTGTGTGCCGTCCTGTGTGGGATGGCCACATCAATTCACAGTTTTAGTAGACTGTAATTAGCTTTTCCATTTGCTCTTGGAAAGACCAAATATTATCTTTCTGAAAATTGGTGAGTCTTTGTTCGAGATGCCCACCTGCCACAGAAATGCCCACGGCTCCTCCTTCATCTCCTTCAGCCTAATGTGCCACAAGCCCTGCTCCCAGTGCCCCGGGCCCTCCACACTGCTCCTCCTCAGTCACGGCAATGGTTTTCATGGGGCATTTCCCAGCAAAGACCCCGGTGTCACCTGCTCCCCTGCTCTTGCCCCCATGCTTCCTGCCATCTTCAACACACACAGGCCCAGGTTCTCACCCCGCCCCCGACGGCCTCCATGTGGTCCATCACCTCAAGTCTCAGTTTACCCTCTGACTGCTCTCCCTGCTTCTCCCTCCACCACACAGCAGCCAGAGGCCCAACTCAAATACTGGTCAGAATCTGTCTCCCCGCACACACGAGGACCTCCCCGGGGTTCCCCCTATAGGTCAGTGTCGAAATCCACATCGTTCCCCACAGCCCTATATGGCCGGTCCTGCTGCCACCCCCCACTTCCCTCTGCTGTCCTCAACTCCTATCTTTCCCAACAAGCTCCTAACGTGGCTCCAACACTGCAGGTCTTCTTCAGCCTCAAGACCAGCGCCTTCACTGTGCCTCTGCAGGAGAGGCTTTTGCCACAGAAATGTCTGCGACTCTTCCTTCATCTCCTTCAGCCTTTACTCTGAAGCCCCCTCTCAGGGACGCCGCCCTCTCTGACAGCCCCATCCACACTGAGAAACGCCTGTCCCTGCCCACCTTGCCCCTACCTCCTCTCTTGCCAGGTCTCTTCCACCTCTCCTACAGGTAAACCCTGACATATGTAGAGGTTTCACTGACTCAATAGCAAATTGGTCTGACATAGGTCAAAGACCCCCCTTTTTAGCTTCATTATCGCCTTTTATTATCAGTATCTTTCTACATCGCAACAATGAACAATGCAGAGGAGTATCTGAGGCTAATCACACCAGCGCATTATATGCTGCATATTCCTAATTAAGATGTGCAAAACACCCAAACCCAAAACATAGAGGGTCCTGCATGCGGTTTGCTGAAACCTGATTATGTTATACGTCGAGGACGACCTGTATTTCCATCTAACAAACCACTGCTCTGGGTACCGTCCACCTTGCCCACTCCACGGTGTGAGTGGGTGCCACAGGGGCAGGCATTCCTGTCTCCTGGCCATTGCTGAACCCTTATGCTTGGAGCAATGCCAGGCAGACACCGAGGGTGGAATGCATCTCTGTAAATGAATGTAAGTCTACAAATGAGATGCGAATATCTCCCTTTTAACTTGGACAGCTGCCCTAACCAACTGTTGTCTCTTTCTCTGCAAGGATCCAAGGGCTAGTCAAAAAGTATTGCTACTGGGCTGCAGTTAACAGGCGCAGAAATGTATTCCAAGCCAAACATTTTAAAACAAGTCTCTACGATCATTGATGGCTGCAGGCAAGTCCTCTTGGCGGTCTTATGTCATGCTCAGAAGGTTGTGATGGTCCATTTTTGAGATCCGGAGGGGTCAGATTGACAGATTCCACCCCTTGCCCCCTTGAACTCAGGACAACCCCAGGCGTTTACTATGAAGAAGTTTTAAGAAGGCCGAAAGCTACATTGGCGAGAAGGAGGCTGAGAAAGCTACACAGAGGAATGGTTTCCCAATCACCACAAGGCACCTGCTCCTGCTTTAAGGAGAGCAAAGGCTGTCCTATGAGAATTGAGAAAGCTTACCCCATCCACCCTAAAGTCCTGATCCTACAGCCTTCTTTTGGTCCCCCAGACTCAGAGGAGCTAGAAAAGACCACGCAAATCCCCCAAGGATGCCCCAACTGCGGGCTTCACATGGTGTTAATCAGAGAGGGGAGACTTCTTTAGAGAAGGGCTAGAGATGGAAACAGGGCTGTCTGTAGACCTAGTCAGAGAACATGCTGAGAACCAGCTTCACATTTTGATATTTCTGTTCAATAAAAAGGTATCTAGGCTTGCGTGGCAGTATATTTGGATTTATCATTAGTTATCACCAAGAGATGCTTTATTTTTGATAGAAATGGGACCAAGTCACCTACCGTTCTCCAGTTTCCCCCTTTCTCACCAAAGCTCCTGTCTGGGCAGTCTTTCTATGTTGGCACGTTTGAAAAGAGGCCGTAGGATCGACCACCACCGATACCTTTATCTGGTTGAATTCTGTGTTTGCCTACCTCAGACAAGGGGCGAGAGGATTGCGAAGGTCTTCAGCCATTATCCACATCAGACACCAAGGACCCTCACAGGGTTCAGGGAGCTGACGTCTTCCCAAGCCCCTGTACACTGTCCTAAGTATCTAAAGCTACACACCTGGCTGGCCTGCGAGTCACGCCGTCTAAAGGGAGCCAAGAACCCTTCTGAAAGAGCAGTTGGTGGCACAGCTGCGCTCCTGACTGATGGCTTCCACGGACAGGGCACAGGCTGGTTAAGAGACTGCCTCCTATGGACCCTGGAGGACTCCCAATCCACTGCTTTCAGTTGGGAAACTCCAAGACCATGTGCGGTTAAATACATTCCATTTGGGATGTCACAATCATTCTATTTGGCTTTCATCTTGAGAGATTTGTAACCACCTTAGGTCAAAACAGTTAAGGTTCTGACTTAGATTTCACAAATCTTTGAAAGATGCAGCTTAGGGCGGGGGTTGGATTCAACACTGGGCGCAGCCAGCCAGGCGGGCGGCAGATGTCAATATCCGCGGGGAGCCCCTGCTGTGCTCAGTACTTGGCTAATCACCTAAAACAATGCTTTAATGGCCACAAAAGATGTCCCAGATTTTTAGTATATTAAAAATCTGTGAAGGCACATCTGTTTTGTGCTACAGTTTTCATCACTAACATTAAAAGCCTCTGCTTTTATTTCACACAGAGCTGAAACAATAGGGATTCTCTACTCTAGAGTTTAACTTCTTCAACACCCTTTTGTCAAATTATCATCTAGGTCAGTGGTTCTCAACCTTCCTCATGCCGCCACCCTTCAATACAGTTCCTTATGTTGTAGTGACCCTCCGACCATAACATTATTTTGTTGCTACTTCAGGTTGAGAACCTGCCGATCTAGAGAGAACCGAGTTGACTGACTTCATTCGGAGGTGCGTGATCCAGCAGGGCCACCAGGCTTGGGCTCGGGAGGTAGAGAGAGCAAAGAGGATTCCTCTGCCAGTCTACATTTTACTTCCACACCCCAACCAGCGGGAGGGAGGAGAAAGATGCTCATCCCATTCTGGGGCTCTGAAGGCAACACAAAAATTTCAAACACTTTAGCTTCAATGCCAACAGGGTTGACCTCAGCCTCTCTGGGGCTTGTGCTGGCTTTTGGATTGTTCTGGAGCTGTAGGTCCTAACCAGAGAAGGCTTAGCTGGACAGGTGTAGACTAGGCTGGCTTCTTCCTGGCTTCCTTGTCCACTTGTGGACTGTGGGCACCTTCCCTGATACTGTCTGTTGCCCAAAGAGATAAGACTGTCTCTGGATACAGAAAAGGGGTAGACAGTGAAGGCCTAACAGAAAGTCCCTGTCTGCCCATATGCTAGACCCT